GCCACAGCCGGGCACGAACTGCTCACCTTCATGGATGCCTACTCTGGGTACAACCAAATCAAGATGCATGTCCCAGATCAAGATCATACCGCATTCATAACAGACCAAGGTCTGTACTGTTACAAGGTCATGCCCTTCGGTTTAAAGAACGCATGAGCGACCTACCAGAGAATGGTGAACAAAATGTTCGCCAAGYAGATCGGCCGGAATATGGAAGTGTATGTGGACGACATGCTCGTCAAGAGCAAGCGGTCTAAGTYGCATCTTTCCGATCTGACCGAAGCCTTCGAGGTTCTAAGGACATATCAAATGAAGCTCAACCCAGCTAAATGTGCCTTTRGAGTCTCTTCGGGRAAATTCYTTRGCTYCATGGTGAACCACCGGGGGATCGAGGMCAACCCCGAAAAGATTAAAGCCGTGCTCRAGATGGAGGCACCCAAAACGCTGAAACAGCTTCAGTGCCTCAATGGCAGGATTGCAGCCCTGAACCGGTTTGTTTCAAGATCGACAGATAAGTGCCTCCCTTTYTTCAAAGTCCTRCGAAAGAAAGGGCCGTTTGAATGGACAGCAGAGTGCGAACAAGCATTTCAGCAATTGAAGAGCTACCTCTGTTCGGCACCTTTGCTCGTCAAGCCCGTGCCATGGGACAAGCTCCAGTTATACTTAGCAGTGTCTGACAGTGCCGTCAGCTCGGCCCTAATCAGGCAAGAGGAAGCGCGGCAAAACCCGGTCTACTACACAAGCAAGGCTATGACCGAAGCCGAGACTAGATACCCTCAGATGGAAAAGTTGGCTCTAGCTTTAGTCACCTTGGCCCGACGGCTTAGACCATACTTCCAAGCCCATACTGTGGTGGTGCTCAATAACTTGCCCCTAAAAAACATCTTCCATAAGCCAGAAGCTTCTGGACGCCTGATGAAGTGGGCAATGGAGCTAAGTGAGTACGACATCCAGTTCGAACCCAGAGCTGCGTTGAAAGGGCAAGCAGTGGCAGACTTCATAGCCGAGCTCACACCACCTTCCGAGCCTGGCGAGTCCGACCTACCGTGGACAATCTACGTCGACGGATCCTCCAATGAGAAGGGGTGCGGGGCCGGGGTCCTCTTTCTCGGACCAGGAGGCGAGCGATTTGAGTATGCCTTGAGGTTCGGCTTCCGGACTTCCAATAACGAGGCTGAGTATGAAGCATTTATTGCCGGTCTACGAATCGCCAGAGCATTGGGGGTCTCTTGTGTTAAGATCTTCAGCGACTCCCAGCTGGTTGTGAGCCAGATCACAGAAGAGTACCAAGCTAGGGAATCCCGAATGGAGAAGTATTTGGGCAAGGTCAGATCGTACCTCGCCCAATTTCGAACTTACGAGGTAAGTCGGGTTCCCCAAGCAGAAAATTCTAATGCCGACGCCTTGGCCAAGTTAGCATCAGCGTACGAGACCGACCTGGCCAGGTCGGTC